CATGCGTCCGGCCGCGGGGCTTTGGCCGGTCTGCTTGCGCGCCCGCCGACGCCGCCGACATGACTGTCAATGCCGAATAATCGATCTGATCTGGGATATGTTTGTTGAGAGAACATAACCGCCGACCTCCCCAGCCAGCAGCAGTGCGGTGCGCGCGCCTCGCCTGCCTCGGACGCGCGCGCGCCGTGCCGCCGCCGGCGACTGTCCCCATACCGCCAAACCGTGGGGCCTCTGATAAGCCTCTTTTCTCTTTGTGTCCCGGCCGCTTCCTCTCCCCCGACCCCTCCGCTCCCTTACACACACAGGGGCTCGCCGCGACGTGTCCGCCCCGCCACAGCTGCCCAGGGCTCTGCTGCTCTGCTGCCGCTGCCCGTCTGGCCTCCGTCAGCCGCCCCGCCAACTTTCCTGAGCCGAATAAAAGTCGAGGCCTCTCGCATGCGTGCTTTGTATGTTTGTGGGTTGAGAGGGAGAGGGTTGGCAGCATTGTAATTATATTATACTACTACATGGCCGTTGTTGTGGCGGCCGGCAGTACGTCAAGCGCTTGTCTTTTTTCGACCCTTTTTATTATTATTTTTTCCCCCTCACCGGCAGACCTGCTGCGACTAGGTGAAAGAAGTTGGCGCTCGCCCACGCACGCATGCAGCCTATTTTATGTTGATCTCTCGCTTGCGACGGCTGCGGTGAGCAGAACCTCCTCCTGCGCTCGGCTGGGTGGCACATGTGGCGCGCCGGTGGAGCGGCGCAAGCGCGAATGTTCTACGAATTTCAAATTTTTGACCAACAGTCCCGACTAACTTGGGACTGGGTCGGTCCGGTTCGTCCGAACTTTGCTTTCTGCCGGGCGCCCCCCCACACATTTGTTTCCCGCCGACCGACTGTGCGGCTCCAGACTTCAGGGGCTCTGGAGAGGCCACCAACTCCGGAGGGTATTGGGTGCGCGCGGTGTTCCTGGGTTACGGTGGCTCCAGGATCCAGTGGCGCTGGAGACACTACCGATCCACGAGGTATGAGCGACTATGAGGTACCGCGCCCTGACAAAGCTGCCAAGCTTATTTACCCTAGACGTGCTCTCTTAGCGCCTGATGGGTAGGCAACGTATTGTCTGCAGTGCACGGGTGCACTGCGGGGTGGCATACCCTGCGTCTCGCAGGCGCTGAGCTCCCGTAAGTTGTCGAATGAATCTGCGAGGGAAAAAACCCACAAAGACTGGGGTGCTGGAGAAGACTCGGCTGCAGGAGGCATTAGGTGCGCTCAGCGCTCATGATGGCCTGCTCCACGAGGGCCCTGTGAGTCCTGGCTCCAACTGCGCTGTTAGAGTCATGCGTCCCGGTAAGTTTGGTGCCCATGCGGTGTTCATAGCCTCTATAGGCTTCTTTGGCTCCGGGCCCCGGCGGCTCTGTGCTCTGGTGTCCTCGCGAGCCCCGCGAAGTGCTCGTGGCCTCCACGCGGACCGGCGGCGGCTCCCCTGCGGGACAATCTTCTCGGAAACCTGCCCGGCGTTCGTTGTCGAGTTTGCAGACAGGCGACTTTGAGAAGGGCCTCCCGCCCCCACCCAGTCCCCGCACCGCGCCGCACGCCCGCTCCGGCCGCATTTATGTCCTGCAGGGGGCTGACGTCGCCCTGACGTTGATTCTAGGTGGCGCACCCACTTTTATATCTTTTTGCCTGCGAGTCAGGTTCTCTCTCACTCTTTCTGGCCTTTTTCCTCTTCACCCCTTCCCTTCCTCCCACCCGTTTTCACCACGAGTGTACGATGATGGAGCGGGAAAAAAAGCAGTGGGAAAGAGAAACGAATTCATCGGAGATAGATGGAGACTGGCTGGTCCGCAGGTGCGCAGGTGTGCGCTGGCGGCTACCACGCGCGCGACACCTGCGTGACGTGTGTGGGACACGTGTGAACTGCCGGGAAGCACGTGCCGCGCGGCGGTGCTGTGCTGCCCGCGGGCCGCGCTAGGGCTGGCCACCGCCCGCGGATTAATTGCTTGTCGTCGACAGCTGCAGGCGTGGCGCAGCCTGCCGTTGAGGGTGTGTGTGGTGAGGGAGATGGAGAGAGAGAGAGAGAGGGAGAGGGGAAGGGGGGGACGATGGAGGGGG